AGTCGACGAAAAAAAAAAAGATGGGTATGTATCAGCTTTCATCAGAATGCGAACAGCTAAAATTCCGATTCCTCCTAAATGCTCCATCACCAGATTCCAACAGAAATTCCATGCATCACGTGGTTATCTGTTCCCATATCTCTTTGATTCTAAGTCTCATATCTTCCCATTTGAGATTTCATGCTATAGTCTCACGTCTACAAAAATTTCACACAGCTAATCATATTCTACATGCGACGCCAAAATGCACTGCATGTCACAGGTCTTCTCGTGACCAGTGTTGCAAAAATGCTTGCCTAGGCAGTCCTAGGCACCAGGCGATGCTTTACTTCCTTGCCTAGACCCTAGGCAGTAAAGTTAAGCGTTTTTTTATTATTAATTTTTTTTAGATTTTTCATTTTATTTTAGTATTTTTAATAGAAAAATAAAGGCAAAAATATGGGATAAGGACCTAAACTTATACAAAATTTGTACTTCTAGACTCAAACTTCAATTATACTCAAATAAGATTTTAAACTATATGAAATTTTTAAATAAGATCCAATTGGATGGAAAATTAACAGCGGTTAAATGTTAACTCATTGAGAGAGTAATGGACATGAATAGAATTATAAGGCATTTTTGATGGTAAGTTAATTTTTTATCTAATTTTTTTTTTTGAAAGGCAAAAAAATTTTATTGATAGTGAGTACAAGGGGTACTCGAACCCATGTGCTACAAGAACAACATCCCATAACCCACAATAGGCCAAATTAGAATTTGCATAAGTTGGGGTTGATAATCCAATCTGAAAGTAGGCAATGCTTGTCTTTTCAGTTAATTTTTTTATTTAATTGAGATCTTATTTAAAAATTTCATGTAATTTAGGATTTAATCGAATGTAATTAAAATTTAAATCTAAAATTACAAATTTTGTACAAATGTAGGTACTTATCTCCTACTTTTGCCAAAAACAAACAGTCTAAAATACTTTTGAAAATAGGCCATGAAAACCGTCTAAAATTTCTCTTTTTTTTTTTTGAACTGGGGAAACTTGAGGGTGGTGTGAGGGGAGTGGAGCTGGAGGAGCGAGTGTAAACTTAGGATTTTAATTTCTTAAACACGTCTCTTTTAGGGAATAATTACTAAGTCAATTAATGATAAATAAACCGTCTAAAACACTTAATAACACTTAGATAGCACCTAAGCATCACCCTAGTGCTAGCCAGTGGCCCACTGCCCACCTTCGGCTAAGGCTTTCTGTGAGACCAACGTCTCCACTAGCTTACAGATAAATTAGAATAATTACAAATAAAAAGTCAATGACTTTGTCACTCTGAGTGGGATCTGCATCAGACATCAGCAAAAATTATAAATAAAATTCATGCAATTATTCAGTGAGATGATAAATTAAAAAATGCATTAGAATTTTAGAAATCAAAAAGAAGGTTCTGCATTGTTCTCATTTCCTTTTCGTCAACAGAATATTAGCTACAACAGCGATACAAAGTCTCATAACATTTAAACAAAAAAACAAAGTTAAAAGGAAGATTAACAAAAGGAGCGCAGGGGAAACAAGAAAAAATGAGGTCAAAAGTACAAAAAGCCCGTCCCTCCATTATTTCCCTCCTTTTCTCTCTTCTTCTAGTAAAAAACCTGCTTAAGCTTCGAGAGCATGTGTGGCAATCATTGGCGGCCGCGGCACTGGAACAGTGATGACCACCGCGGCCGTGTTAGGATTAGCTTCGACATCGTTGGCTATGGTTATTGCTTTGGTTTGGCCATTTTCTACCGTGTCTTTTATGGCTTCTGGGAGTATTGGTTCAGCTTCTTTTTCTTGGGATTCCTTGTGCTTCCCCCACAGAACAGAGTATAGTCCCATTACTATTAGTATTGCTCCAAGAACACTGTAAAAAAATGAAAAAGGAAAAAAGATTTAGATGTCAATGTTTTTCAATCTCGACTAACATTGATATTTCAGTATTATGACTGACATATTATTATTATTTTTTCTGTTTGAACTGAAAAGAATATTTCTATTAAAATTAAAGAAGAATGGTTTTGACAAAAAGTGGGAATTACCCTCCAAGATAGATCTTCTCAGCCAGGATGAAAGAACCCATGATTGCCACAATGATCATCATCAGAGGGCTAAAAGCTGTGACAAAGACAGGCCCTCTTTTCTGCATCAC